CAATTTTTATAGAAAACACAAAACAAATGCTTAGTTCTTTCCCTTTACTAGTTTTCAAAATAATTACTTCTTCGTTAGCATCCTTCATGAGTGACACATTAGAGGTGTTTTTCTTTTTTTAGCATTACTATGAAGTAAGGGTTTTAAACATATTTGATATGTTTTAACCCATTGCAATTATCCTTTTTAATGATCGAATTGCCTCATCTTTGTGATGGGAATTTATTTAAGGAATATCTTCTGACTCCTTGTGATGTGATCCTATTAGCCTTTGATAGTGTGCTTGCTATCTGGTATGACAAGACATAAATTTCTGCTGCAGACCTAGAAACATCCGTTGCTTCAAGGAACTCTGGTTTCTTTTGATGGGAGATGATATTATTTCAGCATCACTGTCTGGGTCTGTGGGTGCTTGTTGTTTGTGGTTTGTTATTGTTTCTAGGCCGTTTCAGGGACAGATCTAGGAAGTGTGTGTGTCTGTGTGTGTGCACGCACGTGTGTGTGTGTAAGATTAAACACTTTTTGAGTTCAAACTCATAATTTGAGTTCAGGACTACAAAGTTAATTAACCTATATTTTAACTGTATTTCCTTTCTTTAATGTCAAATTTCCCATTCTCAAAACACCAGAAAATCCTGTTATTTTTACTAAAAAGCAACAACGACAGAGGGACTCTATGACCCTTGGTATTTCAAGAGAAATTAAACATTCAGGTGTAACAGGAAAAATGATTTTCATTCATACTAATCATTGCCACTGATCAAATGGAAAGATGATAAATTAGCTTCTCATTCAAGGAGAAGCTAATGCTTAGAAACTAAAATGTACTTTGTACCTAGATTAAAGATTCAATATAAGTGGAGTTTGCTCTATGGTGAAAGAAAATAGATGAGTCTATACTTGCTAAGACATTCAAAAACACTTTTCCAAGTTATATTAGAGGCTCATAGGTATCTGTATCGAGAACAATAAACACTTTCAATCACTCCTTTGCAGCCATGCGTAACTCAGGGTCTGTGAAATGTTTTGTTTTTAGACCTAGATACCTCCGGCGCGTTTCACTTGTGTTGGATGACTCCAGGGTTGTTTCAAGCACATGGAAATCTGCAAGTGACAAGGAAAATAAAATCCCAGTAAAGCAAGTCAGGTTTATTTTCTTCAAAGTGCCCTGTACATAGTGGGGAGTAGTAGGAAGTCTGTCCCATCAACAGACACTAGAGGCCAATCTGTTTTAAGGCTTGTCAGAGCTCTGAAATGAGCCACCACATAAATGAGGATAAACCCAGTCTCATTCCAAGAGCCCTTAGAACATTTCCATATCTCCTCATCATCATATAAGTAACTGTCATGCAAAGTAAAAATGTGACAGTAGATCTTCAAGGAAATGCTGTGGCCACACACAGGAGAGAAACATGATCGGGGAATGTGAGAGAGCTCCGTGGAACAGGAGCATGATTTCAGGGGAACTCATTCATTCATTTATTCAACTGTTTATCGAATACCCACCCACTCACTCTGTACCTTGATATTGTCTCACAGCAGACCCAAATAAATCTAGTTTCAAATCCTGGATCAAGCCCACTACATTTTGTGGCCTTTGACAAGTTATTAAGCTTCTGTGCCCTAATTTTACCATCTGCAAAATGCAGGCACTAATACCTGCCTCAAAGAATTTCTGAAATTAAATAGGAAAAAGACCATATTAAATGCCCATCACAGTGTCTGGCAGATACACAGCACTGCAGGAAACTTACCTTGCCTGCCCAAAGAGCTTCACCTTTCTTTGTTAGAGGAGAGAAAAAGGAGAAGGAGGGAAGGTAAGAGGGTAGAGAACTTGAGAGATGAGTATGTAAAGAGTTGTTGGAGGAAACCAGAAAATAAGTAGGCAGACTCAAGTGAAATAATTGTATAGAGGCACTGAAAAACCAGCACAAAGAGGTTTGGTCAGTTGATTTGTTTTTAGGTATTTGAACAAAGAGGTGGACAGTGGAGGTTTTTGCAGCTCACTTAATTTTGCATGCTTAGGTAACTTGATGAATTAGAATATCTTAAGTGACAGAAAGTCTCCCCATTCATGTTTGTGGGAGAGGGTGAGTGGGGTGTGGGTATGGCAGGTAAGGAGAATCTGTTGAGATGTGAGACTCACCACTGAGAATAATTGTTTTACTTCTCCAATGGGAAGTGAATTATCAAATTTAAGAACAATTTCTCTGAGAGAAAATTTGCCTCCACTCTTTCCCACATCCTTACCCTTATTATTTGGCTTTGCAAGCATCCCCATGATATAGGCTTATAAATTTAGTTTATCTCTCCCTTAGCCTGGTCTTCCTTTATTATACCACTTTACTGCTTCTTTGGGGCTGAGACTCCAAAATTTGGGTCAAATGTTCTATTAAGTTAACCACTTTAGAATACCAATAACACTCCTGCAGCACTTTTCATCTTCATAGCAGTTCACAAACATCTCCTTCTTCACTAATGAAGATGAGTCGAATATCTTAGAGCATCTAAAACCAAAGCTATTTAATCATTGTCTGATGTGGGAACGTGAGACAAAATGCAAGACCAACAAAAAAGTATATTACGTTTCAAACTTGCTGATTCAAACTTTGGAAAAATTCTTTGAACATGCAGGCAGAACTCATGCCACAGAATCCTGGTTTTTGTAATGAAAGTTGCCATATGCATAATAACAACCTTGTAGGGGTGTTTTTATTTCATATTTTACAGAGTGTTCTTCAATTCATTATTTCATTTGATCTTCATGAAAATCCACAGAAAAAAAGAAATTATTGTCCACATATTTTAGACAAGGCCTATTGTGATTAATTCACATCCTCAAGTTTCCAGTTACTAAAGATTTGTGCTGGGACTAGAACCCCAAATTTCACTCTCCAAGTCAGAAGTTCTTTCCATGAGGTTTCCTACCTGTGCTGTGCAATAACTGGAGGTTTCACTGGGGCTGGAGGAATGGAGCAGGAATGTGTGTATTCCCTCCTCTTTCAACTAGAGCAGCTCCACAAATATACTTTATTTGGGGCTTTCTCATGGATTTCTCCGGTTCAGTTTTATTGCACAGAGCATGCAGCATCTCCTCTATTGTTTATGATCCAACTGGACTGTGAGCTGCATTTTGAAATTACCTGCAGGCCTGCAAATCTCCATTCATGGCAGGGGTAGTTGTATACCATAATCTCTCCCTCTTGCCTGCCCCCAACCTTGCATCTTTAACAACTAGCTGTTCTGGGCCAGTAGAGCCATCTGATGCCCTTTGGATGCACCAACTCTTCCTTGACTTCCTTTTCTTCTATATGAGACATAGCGTGTTTCCTCTTTTACCACCGGCCATTTTTACCTTTGAGAGTTTGATGTATCACAAAGGCCCAGGAGGATCTTCCCGATCAGAACCGTCTTGCCATGGTAATGCTGGTGCCTAACACACTTGTGCAGCCAAGACTGTTGAAGAAGCAAACACTCATACACTCATTCTTCAGCAAATTATTCCATTCCTAAAGAGATGCTCTTTCTGTCTTCCTTTTTCTTCTTTCTTCTCACTTGCACTCTTCATTTTCCCTCTCTTTTGTCTTTCCATGAGCATAAAACAATCAGAACATAGATGACAAGCACAATGCCAGTTACCCAGTATCTGAAAAAATTGAAGCCATTGCTTCTGAAGGGAAATTAAGCAAGATAAATATTGAGTAGTGAGTGACGACATTTTTTAAAAAGCGTTCAGGTCCAGAATCATCACAAGTCTTCAGAGGCTTCATCTATAATCACTTGCTTTTTATAAGCATGCCTTGAAAACTCATTTCTCCTTTTCATCCTTCAAAATTTAGCTAAAATGTCACTTCCTGCAAATGTTTTACTGACATCTCTGGATAGCCTCCATCACCCCTTCTGATGTCTCCTCCAGAACTTTGAACACATCTTTTACTATAGCACTTTACACATTATACTTATTACAATTGCTTGTTTGTGTGTCTGTATCTCACACTAAACCAGGAATTGGTTTTTGTTTTGCTTGGCTTCATCCTTTTCTTTAAAGCAGCTATGCAGATGTACAATTTTTTATTGTTGTTGATGGATGTGAATTTAGTTAATTAAATGATCACCCAGGATTCAAGAAAAAAAACAAGCTCATTCTTACTCATTTTAATTTCTTTTTTGGGGATAGAATTGCTTTCTGCTATTCCTCGCTGAAGTTTGAAGTGTATTTTTTGTTGTCATATGAGTTGTATAGATTTTGGTGACAAAATTTAGTTTAAGAATCTTAATTTATAAATTGTTTCTATGCAAAAATACATCTTACCTTCTAAAATGTTCAAACATATATGAAGAAAAAAATGGAGTTTTGTCCATACCTAATCTATATACTATGAAGGTAGGAGGGGAAATCTCTGTACTTTGCTTTTCACAGAAAAGCCTTTCTCTAATTCTCTTTCTCTCTGTTCCCTGATGTCTGCCCTGTCCCTGCCCCTACAGCTTTACCTCATTTAGAGAATTTATCTCATTCTCTTCATCCTTCCAAGGTTTACAGTTTGGTTTTCTGTTGTATACTTTTTGGTCTACCTTGAATCTGTTATTCACACATTTTCCCCTGTTGAATCCTGTTGTAAAAGGGTGAGCACGATGTACTTTTCATTGTTGGTTTTTCACAATGGGATTTCCAAGTACAATATTGAGCTATGGGGGATATTTTGATTCCCGGTTGGAACAGCTCCTAGTTCCTCATCATTTGCCATCTGAGTACAAAGCAGACAAGGTCCATATTTCAGCCTTCACACTCTCTTTTCTCTCTTTCCCATCTTCTATTCTTTTCTCCAGGGATGAAGAGAAATGACATAATCAGGTCAATAAGGCATTCTTTTTCATCTTGATTCTTCTTGTCTGGGTGCTTAATTATGAGATGTCAATTATTCAGCACTCTAAAGAGCATTCTTCTAAGCTCAAAACATTTTAGTCATCAGATATTAAAAGTGCTTGTTTTCTGCTTTTAGGCTACAGTGGTGGCTGTGTGGCCATGCGAGGAAGGCATCCACTTGGTCGCTGGGAAGTGAAGGACTGTCGGCACTTTAAGGCAATGTCCTTGTGCAAGCAGCCAGTTGAAAATCAGGAAAAAGCAGAGCATGAAGAGAGATGGCCCTTTCACTCCTGCTATTTGCACTGGGAATCAAAGCCTGGTCTGGCCAGTTGCTTCAAGGTGATACCAAGGTTACTTGGGCATTCTTAACAGAACCAGCACCATTTTAATTTGACCCATGCAGCCCAAATTCCTTTATTCCAGGATGCTTTTTTTCCAGAACAGTGCCTGACAGATGGCAGGTGCTTAATCAATATTTGTTGCCTGCCTCTATCCTTTCAATCATATTCCAAATAATTTTTAAGTCACAAAAATTGACACATCATGGGAATATTGAAGGCTTCCTCATGAAGATTGTTATCTGTTAAACAGAAATACTGTGCACGGTATTTTGCCGGACACAATGGCCCATGCCTGTAATCCCAGTACTTTGGGAGGCCAAGGCGGGTGGATCGCTTGAGGTCAGGAGTTCCAGACCAGCCTGGCAAACATGGTGAAATCCCATCTCTACTAAAAATACAAAAGGTAGCCAGGCATGGTGGCCTGTGCCTATAGTCCCAGCTACTTAGAGGGCTGAGACAGGAGAACTGTTTGAACCTGGGAGGCAGAGGCTGCACTGAGCCAAGACTGAGCCACAGCACTCCAGCCTGGGTGACACAGCGAGACTCTGTCTCAAAAGAAAAAAAAAAAGGAAAGAAAAAAAATACCATGCATTAATATTAATCCCTGGAAGAAGATCACCATGCACTGGTTATCACTCTTGGGGGAGGATTCTAAACACCTGACCAGTTTCTGCATAGGTTCCTAGCGCTGGCAGGTTTTGCACAAACTTGGCTGCCAGAGTATGAATCTGGTGAGACAGAGCTCCCACACAAGAATACGGGCAAAGTAACTTTATTACAGGTTGAGTACTCCTTTTCTTAAATGCTTGGAACCAGAAATGTTTTAGATTTTGGATTTAAAAACAAAATTTTGCATTGAACTTACCAGTTAAGCATTCCAAATCCGAAAGTTCAAACTCCAATGTGCCAGTGAGAATTTCCTTTGAGTATCTTGTCACTGCTCAAAAAGTTTTGGATTTTAGAGTTTGAATTTTTGGATTTGGGATGCTCAACTTTGTATTCACAGATAGGCAGCAAAAGGCAGCTGAAGCCTAGGATCCACGGTGAGTCATTCTCCAAGGCTCAGGAAAACAGCCCCAGGAAGATGGAATCTTGTCTGCACGTGCCCCAATTTGCACCACAGCCGAGGGCTCCCCAAAGCTCTCTTCTCTGCGTTTTATATCCCAGGTGTCCCTTGGATCACTGAGCTAAAGCATTGCAAGACATCCTGTTCTAGGAGGGATAAGGACAGTTCCTCCATATCTCAGGGTATTGCACTCTTGAAACACTTGGCCTGAGAATTGCCAGGAAATGGAGGAAGAGCTGGGTCAGCAAGGGTCATTTGAGGACCTGTCCTCCTGCAATATTGAAGCCCCTGTCAATATTGCTCATATACCAAGTGAAGGAGGCAGACACTCAGTGGGAGTTAAATGGTATACTTTCATATTGTTTCTAAGCCAATAAATAAAGTCTTTATTATGGAATGATACAATTTTACTAATAAGAATAGCTTTTGCAGCTTGCAAGACACCCAAAGATCAAACAAATCAATGCAGTTGATTTGTATGAGTATATATAGGTGCGTATATGTGTATGTGTGAGTGTATGTGTGTGGTGTGTGTGGTGTGGTGTGTGTGTGTGAAGAAATCTCTATTTTTAAAATCAGCTTTAGGTCCTATATTTAAATTAGTTCCTATAATCTTGTCAGAAATACATTTTTTTAAATATGCTTTAAAAAAATGTTTGGTGGTTTTGTCTTGGTTTATTTTCCAAATAGGGGTTCACTAAATCTTGGGAGAAACCTCCCCAGCAGCTCTGCACAGGCAGAGCAGAACGAAGACAGACTCCATCTCCGGAACTGTTGTAGCTTGTAGATAACATGAAGCAGCTGTGAACGTGCTCAATTTAAATTCTATTCATGTATAATCCTGCATTATAGTCATAGGATAATAGGCCCAAAAGTGACCTCACCAAGTAATAAGTTGAACTTCAGAGATGAGTAAACTGAGGCCTGTGAAATGTAGTGATTTGCCCAAGATCATGATTATTTATTGACAGAGTTGGAATAAATCCCTGGTTTTAGACTTCTGGTCCGGTGCCTTTTCTACTATATATCACCCTGATATGTCAGCAAATGCATGGTGTGCCTGATGGGTATGGTGGCAGGATTTATGAGTTTAGAGTGATTTGGGAAGAGGTTCCCAAAGGAGGCAAATTTTGACATATAATGTAAAAGATGGAAAGGTTGTGCTGTGGTCCACAGGATTTGGAAAGCTATTCATTCTGGTCTCCGCAAGTAAGAGTCTGGTGAGGGCTGGCCACAGGTGTACCTGTCTGGCAACAAAAGTTCAGGCTTAGTGCCAGGCAGTTAAAAATGAGAAGAGTACAAAGGACTGGGATTGCAAGCCCTGTGTCTTCAGTCTTCAGTCTCTTTCCCCAATCTTAAATAAAGCCAAAAGAAGACCTTCTATTCAGCTGACTTCTTCTAGCCACTATGAAGACAGCTGAGAAGTAGCAGAGATTTTAGACACAGCTGAACCACTGCACCTGCCAGTTGAACTAAGATCCAAAGACTCTAGAAATAGAGCTACCCTAGATCCCAGGTCTCAGTCCTCATTTCTTTCCCTGAGTCAGCCAGAGTAATGATCAATCCACTAATTCTAATTTGTCAGAAGGCAGCCTGGTGGGATGGAAGTTTATGGACTCTGGAAGCAAGGAGTCATAGGTCTAATCCTAGCTCTGCCAGTTTATAGCTGTGTGACCTAAAATTCTTAACCTCTCTTGGACTGACTCTATTTATCTCTTGACAAATATTTACTGTGGGACAAGTACATGGCAGTCACAGAGGACTTAAGGTGAAAACAATTATTCAGAAAGCTCATTTATAAAACTGAGTTTATTTGTTGTGAGGATAGAAGTAACTAATAGTTTTATGATGCCTAGGCAGTTTCTAGTTCAGTAAATGTTACTTCCTCTCACTAGATCAAGCTCTTAATAAAGAATAATGATGCTTATGTTAATATTATCGTTATTTTCTTGAGCAGAGTTAAACAACCTCACCTTGTCTATGACAATGTTAATTTCTTTTCTTTTACTATACAGGTATTTCATAGTGAAAAAGTTCTGATGAAAAGAACATGGAGAGAAGCTGAAGCATTTTGTGAAGAATTTGGAGCTCATCTTGCAAGCTTTGCCCATATTGAGGAAGAGAATTTTGTGAATGAGCTCTTACATTCAAAATTTAATTGGTAAATACTTGTTAATTATGAAAAAATTACAGTCAAATATTCTATCTCCCAGTAAAGCCTTCTTAGGGGTGAGCATACCAAGTAGTTGTTTAAAATTCCAGTATTTGTGTTAAGCCCAAAGCCAAGAAAAATATATATACATATATAGTTTTACATTTATCTTGTACCAAGTTCTCATTTCATAAAACAAAGAACAAAGTGACAATTGTTTAGATATTTTAAATCTTTTCTTTGTCCTTCAAGTCAGAACTGTAGAGCTTTCCTGCCAAATTCAGAAATTATCTACCCCGGTGGTTTTCAAAGTGTTTTGGAAGGATTCCAAGAATCCTGGAACCCCAGGAGTATGAGGGCAACATAGGCAGAGCTCCTGGTTCCTTCCACGCCTCACCAGAGAGGCTCTTACCAGCTCCACTGCTAATTATTTTGTATATAATTGGAGCCTATGTAAGATATTGTTTGAAAAAAAAAAAAAAGAGCCCCAATAATTTTTTTAAAATTCCAACCCAACCTCCTAAGTTTTCATTTAGGGAAACAAGCTTTTGCTTATCTGTATCCATCTTGCAAGTTTACAGAACCTTGAATTCAGTGGAGTTAGAAACTCATGTTTAAATTGGAAGAACTCTAAAAGGTCTTGTGCTACCTCCCACCACATACCGTGGTCATCCACTGTCTGCATAATTCCTTGCAGTTTCAGAATGCTTCTTATTTGGGAGAAAGCTCATTCCATTGCTGAAGGCTGGTTTCAAAGAGCAGCTTTCTCATAAGCCAGAAACCTGCTCCCTGTCAGTTTGAGCTAGAGCAAATACAGATCAAATCTTCTCTATTTTCAAAATAATTGAAGACAGTTATCTTCTCTCCTTTCAGTGAGCTCCTCATCCCCCACTTTGGCCTCTCATTTTGGAGTGTTCTTGTTAGTCAGCCTGCATTGTGAGAGTATCTCCTGTGGAAGGGGCACAGTTACATGCATAGCTGGTTAGAGAATTCAACAGATGTGACAGACAAAACCCTGCCTCTGAGGATGTTGTGATCAGCAGACCTCCATGGCTCTGTATATGTATTTAATGAAAACAAATGTAATAACAGGCACTCTGCTTCAAGCTCTGGAAAGCTGGAGTCTCAATGAAACACTTGTCTGGATCCCAGAGAAAAATCCCATACTATTTTTTGAGGAAAATCTTGGCCTTTCCCATAAGTTTCCTTGTAGCACATTCCCATAAAAAGATTAACATGTGACATCTATCAAATTATTCATCTTCCACATCCACAAGAATGACCTTAAACCTGGGAGTTTTTGACATCTCTCCATGTGAGTTTTGTGCAGCATTCTACAGGGAAGGAAGAGGATTTTATGGTTAAATAATTTTGCAAAACAATGCACAGTCTTGGAGATTTGCCATATACATTAGCATCACAAAGGGTTATAGAAGGAAGCACTATCTTTGACCACAAATTCCTTTTTTTAGAACACTTATTGGCATACCACAGAACTGCTAGTCCCTACAGGAAATGCTGATCTGAGGCCATGACTCAGGAACCTGGCTGCTCATCACACTTGGTGGGGACACCTTTTAATACAGAGTTTTCTGGCCTCACACCAGAGGTGCTGAGTCAGATTCTTTGAGTCTGCAGAAAAGCTTAAGAAGCTTCCTGGCTAATTGGATTATCAGCGAGGTGTGAGGCCGCAAATCCAAGGGATAGGTGATAGTCTCCATTGCTCAAAGTTACACTTTGCTTCATTACTTTAGCTCCCTGCAAAACATATTTGCATATTCTGCCCTTGCCTTTTAGTGAGGTTTGCCAGGTGACAACCCACACAAACTGTTTCCCAGTTTGCTTTAAGATCAAATATCACTGTCATTTCTGTTTATATAAGTTCTCACATTTGAAATGTCTAGTAGAATTTAGTGCCAAGCATCTGTCAAATCACTGATCTTCAATATCTGATCACAAAATCTATATAAAATGAGCCAGGTACAGTGGGTCACAGCACTTTGGGACACCAAGGTGGGAGGAACACTTACGGCCAGAAATTCAAGATCAGCCTAGGCAGCATAGCAAGACTCAGTTTCTACAAAAAATTTTTAAAAATAGCCAGATGTGGTGGCCACCACACCTGTATTCCCAGCAAAACCTAGTTCAAAGTTTCACTGAGGTATGATTATGTCACTGCACTCCAGCCTGGGCAACAGAGTGAGAACCGTATTTAAAGAAATATTTTTAAATTATTGGCTGGGCGCAGTGACTCACACCTGTAATCCCAGCAATTTGGAGGCCAAGGCGGATTGCTTGAGCCCAGGAATTAGAAAACAGCCTGGGCAACATGACGAAACCCCATCTCTACCAAAAAATAAAAAATAAATAAAAAATTAGCCGGGCTTAATGGTACACACCTGTAGTCCCAGCTATTCAAAAGGCTGAAGTGGGAGTATCACTTGAGCCCAAGAAGCAGAGGTTGCAGTGAGCCAAGATTGTGCCACTATACTCCAGCCTGGGTGACAGTGAGACCCTGTCTCAAAAAAAAATTATCAATAATTGTATATGTTTCACTTTATTCCCAGACTACCAGGGAATTCAGTAAAACCTGATGTTTCATTATAGCAAACATACCAGATCTCATAGTTATCAGGTATGGCTGGTATGCTGCTTTTCTTTTCTATTTTATTAACCAGATACACACACACACACACACACACGTATACACATACATGTGTGTTTATTTAAAATTATACTATTTTAGGCAACTGATGAAGAGAAAGTAAATACCATTTCATCTTCTAGGAGCCAGTATATAGCAGGAAATACAAAGAACTCTGAATTCAGTGAGGAAAGAAAAAGTTCACAACACTGGGAGAGGGACATGGATTTTCAGCCTATGCCATGGAAATTAATGTGCTTGGCTTAAACTGAAGGTGGCCATTCTCACCTTCTCCCAGCCTTAAATGTAAAGTATCATTATGACAGTGACCAACCGGGCATCAGTGATCTCTTGGATTTCTAAGCTGCATTTGACTTTAATTTGTGTCATCCAGGTGGAGTACCTGAAATATCTGAGAAGGAATTATTCAGAATAGGCTTGCTTCTCTACACAAAGGAAAATAAAGTATCTGTCCTGATATCTGAATCATTTACATCTTTGATTCTTCAAAATTATTCTCAGAAAAGTATCTTAATGAGATGGTTCATTGTACAATTAGGCTTTATTACTTGATTTTTTGAGTATTCTGTGGACACATTTGTACTCTGTCTCATAGAAGGGAAGGTGATTCTCTGGGGAGCTTCTCGCCAAATCTAAACCAATGGTAACAATTGAGGTTAATCTACCAAGGGTCAGGGTGACTTGATTTAGAATTATTTATGTTGATTTAAAAAAAAAAGGCCAGGCGCGGTGGCTCAAGCCTGTAATCCCAGCACTTTGGGAGGCCGAGGCGAGTGGATCACGAGGTCAAGAGATCGAGACCATCCTGGTCAACATGGTGAAACCCCGTCTCTACTAAAAATACAAAAAATTAGCTGGGCATGGTGGCACATGCCTGTAATCCCAGCTACTCAGGAGGCTGAGACAGGAGAATTGCCTGAACCCAGGAGGCGGAGGTTGCGGTGAGCCAAGATCGCGCCATTGCACTCCAGCCTGGGTAACAAGAGCGAAACTCCATCTCAAAAAAAAAAAAAAAAAAAAAAAACCTTTGTGATCAAAAAAAAACCA